ACACTGCGGGTGGGGTCATTTGCCTTACCACTCCTCCCCCTGACTCTAATGTCCACGATTCGAATATCTGGGGCGTCAAGGTTGACAAACTGCAGTCCAACTTGCAGAAAAACGGTCTTTTGAATGCCTGATTAGACCCAAATCAATGTAAAAAACAACCCTTCTCTTCCTTTATTCATGAATCTAACTTCTTGCAGTCCAACGAGGAATCAGATGAAATTGGTACACCTCTACAACAACGTTGGGTACAGTTTAAGCCTATCTCACTATCTGAAAGAAGGAATAAATTCTCATTTTCTAATTTTCTTGGCCTGCGAGGGCTAACCCTAGAATGATTTAGAACCTTAGTAATATGGATTAGAGTTTTTTTAATGGTATGGAATATTAAAGGTTGTGCAATATTTCAACTAGAGGCTAATACTTATCTTTGTCTGATATCATAGTTTTGTCTTATGATAATGTATCATGGTGATGGTTAGTATCATGAACTCTGGTGAATTCTGAAACTGATACTAATAACGTTAAGATTACAGGTTATGAGTATCATACACAACAGCTACAAACGTTTGAGCTGATGCTCTAAAGTTAGCTAGGTAAGCGCAATAGGGAAGGAGACTGAAATGAAGCAAGCTAGTTACTAGAAGAGAGAAGAGACTTTAGGATTCTAAATAGTTTCTGAGTCGAAAGCTTGCTTTCTCCTTTCATTCCAGATGTGGAGGATGGACATAGCCTGTTAACAACCGAAGATGGAGATTGCTACTTTTGGGATACAGGATCTGGAGAAGCAGGTGATCTGGCCTGCCCTGTCGGGGGAATGAACTTTGCTGGAGGTCAGATTGTTGGAAGGTGCAAGAGTAGAGAGCGTGGCTCTGTTTCAGGCATACAACCTCAGCCAAACTGTAACTCAGCTGCTGAGCGAACTGCTTCTAGAACAGGTAAGGTTTTTTTTGTTTCTAGTAATTACCATTTTACTATTATATATATTGTTGGTTTAATAATATTTAGAGGATATGGATGCGTTTATATGATCACTTTTATTATGATGATGTTTCTACTTTTGGTCGTTATTCAGAATATCTGCGCTTTTGAGTACAAATCCTCTTGATCAAAGTAAAAACCCCATGTTCATTCCGACCACCGTTTTCTGTTCTCTGTCTATGCAGTTCATCTTGGCTAACTTACTAGACTCCCCTATATTAACTAGACTCAGGTGATTTCTCGGACTAGCAAACAATAATGCAGGTACACGCATACACAAGTCCACTTAGATATTCATCAGTGCAAGTATAGAAATGCTCTATTTTGCAGATATAGCTAGAAATAAAGGAAAATCTTTGAAAGAGGAGGCGAAACAAAAAACTATTTTGACAATAAATGAGTCATTCGATTTCGATTTCCTTTTTAGTCTGGAGGTCTATTAAAAGCACAGAGGCTTGTACATCCTATTCCTTGTTTTAAGTCCTTTAGTAGTAATGTATAGGCGAAATACAGTGTGAGGAGGAGAAATTTCACTAAGTTAGAACCACTAAGACCTAACTGGTTTGAAGAAAATTCATTCAAAGCATGTGTGGCAAATAATGTGACCAATGAATTCGCTCATGCTTGTTGGGATAAGCGATAAAGTAATTTTAGAGAATTCCCTCGGATAGCTCAGTAACGAAATATTTCTTAGAGTTCTATACTATAGATTGATTTTTATATGAAGGAATGAGGTTAACTCATTTCGTTTTAGATGACAGAAGGACTAGTAGTTAAGTCTCTAATGATGACATTATAAGACGACCTCATTATGTCATTGAGTTTGAGCTTGCCTTGGTTGACCAGATTTAGATTTCCAATGTTTTTTTAGACACAGGTGAGGTATAATCATCCAACCTTGAATGAGAATGGTTTTTGCTATGCGAAATTCAATAATACGGTGAAGTCTTCTTTTATGTTAATTGTGAATGTCTCCACTATAGATCTGTCCTTTACGCAAAGTCACTTAGGGTAATCTAAGTTCTTATAATCAGAAAACGCATATTTGTACAACTCGCATTCTTTCTAACAAAACTTCTAATACCGTAGTCACAGCGTATGAACAATCTCTCTCCCTTATGTATTCGTTTAGCCTAGTTTTGCTTGTCAGAATGCCACAATTAGTCCCTATACTAAGCTTAGCGTGTTGTTTACTACCTAATCTTCGTAGCGTTGCATTCAGCGAGCACTAGTTTCCTATAAAGCCATTGGCCACGTAAATCTAGAGTTTATTTGTGTCTTAATACCTTACGCTGACCAATACCAGCTGCTCTCAAAGTTGCCGATTTTGTATAAGTCTATTAAATACGTTATAAGACATATTTCAGTATATATTTAGTTTGATCTCGTTTTCATTGCTTAATCGTGTTGTTTGGAAGATTTCAACGAATTTACCGCATACTGTGCCCTCTTCCATGGTTGCCATGCTTGCTTCTAGTATATAATATTTAATTAAGTGAATTATTAAAAGTTTCGTTGCAATCGTATTATACATTATCAGTAACCAATGCCTTCATTATGATCGAGTCTTAACCCGTCAAATTAACTTGGCACTGACAATACTTACCAGGATCTTGACCAACTGTCTGGCAATATACTCAGTCAATTGCCCTATACTGGAAGAACAGAGCATAACAATGGTCAAGCACGCAGTTCGAGGTCAGTTAGTAAAATATACCGGAAATACCACTAAATCACAAGACCTAATTCAAGCCAAGTCTATTCTTCCAAAGGAGACCGAGACCGTTCATCTCAGTATACTATATTAAACATGATCTAATATGACGCCTGCTAATTTTCTTTCGCCTACAGCTTTTTTTACCAGTCGAGCCAAGTAATGACTCTTTTGTTGTTGCGCTCATACACTAGTTTGGCATCGTGTTGGACCGTGGTCAAATAGAAGTATACCTTGATTGACAAAGGACAAATCTACTAGGTGTATTCAATCTATTTTACTTAAGATGATAAGGGGAATGGAAGTTGAATTTTCTTACAATACTATGAGTAAAACTAAGGTTTCAATTAAATTTCACATAGCCTTACTTCCGCAAAAGTTGTTCTCATCGGAGGTGAACTGTAGTTTCGACCCCGCCTATCTCTCACCAGCACTCCTAGCAGACTAGGACCATGAGAGAGTAGTTTATAATCTCAAAACGTTAACCACTACGCCGCAGTACCAAGAGTGCCCGTGTGTCAAGATTGCATACTGCGTTGCCATGTTTCGACTTCAGCTTGGGATGTTGATGAGACCTAGGCGAGGTCGAAACTGCAATTCAACTGCTAAAAAAATCCAAAAGAAATGTTAGGTCTATTCATATCGTTGTGGGAGAACTCAACTATTAGTCATCTTATAACCTTAGACGAAATAGGATAAATACACCTCATATGATATACTAGCGGTCTCGAAAAATTACTTTTAAACGAAACGACAAATCTTCCTTTGATTTGGTTATAAAGGGAATGCTTTTATTAACCAAATTAGTAGAAGAATCAAAGGTTATCTGTCGATAGGTAAAATTCACTTACATAATCAGCCCACATCCCTACTCCACTTGAAGCTTCTTTTTGAGTCTTGATATAATGCATCAGCTGGAAAACCTAGATTATCATTGGAACACCATGATATTTATCCTTTCTTTCTATAGTGAAGGTTTTTACGAAGGACAACAGGATACAATAAGTCTTTTATAAAATATGGTAATGCTATTAATCCCTTCAGTTGATCTATTTTAAGCACTCTAGGAAGTCAAGAAGTGGAATGCAAATTTGCTGCGATGAAGCTGCATTGTATGCCCGTTAAATATTTTATTTTCCATCACATCACATTTAAGAGTTAATCACAGCATTCCTTGCCTATTTCCGTAAGTCTCTTTCATCATAAGAGTGTTCTAATAAAT